AAGTCAGTTGTTAAATGTCTCTGCAGTTTGGTACTAGGCAGGTAGTGTACAACTATATTTTTTGTGGATCAGCTGCCTGATCTGGCAAAAGACTCTATGAGAGAGGTAACTTTGCTGTTGTGGTCCAGAAAACCATAAAAATAAGCTGAACGTGGCTAAAGCTCAATAGAGTCTCTAATAATTCCCATCACTTCAGACTTGTCTTGATACTAATGTTGTATATGTGTTATAATGTCCATCTTCATTACATCTGAAACTGGCCAATTTACCCTACTCTTATACTGCTATTAAATAAGTAAAAAATGAAAAACACTTAAGAGTATCGGTTATAGTAAACTGTCAGATGTTGTGTGGCTAATTTCTCTTATGGTATTTTCCATCTTCAGACAAGAGGAGGCCCCTCCTCCACCTCCACCCATCGTCATCAACAAGTATTCAGATGAGCAGCTCAGATTGATCATCAAACGGATGAGAGACAGACTGCAGCTCTACAAGGAGAAAGTTGCTGATCAGTATGCTTCATCCCCAGAGATCAGTCCTCCTGTCAGTGAGTACAAACGCAGAATTATTCATCTGTATGCAAGTTAGAGCTTCACTTCAGCGGTGTTAGGAAGCACCAAAGTTTAATATTCTTATGTTTATAGTTATCATTGCTGCTTGATTGAGAAATGATATTGTCCTTTCAGCACCTCTGCTAGGCAAAGATGTGTACACAAAAGTCATAGAGGACAGGAAAAGGCAGGCTGAAGAGGATCGGATAAAGAAAGAGGAGGCTGATAAGAAGAAGAAAGAGGAGCAGGAGCAGAAGAAAAAGGAGGCTGAGCAGAAGAAGAAAGAGGAGGAGGAGAAAAAGAAAGCAGAGGCTAAAGATGAGAAAAAGGAGGAGAAGAGCATGGAGACCAGGCTGAAAGAAGCCACCTGGTATGCGGTGGATGTTGTGCTGAAGCCAATTGAGGACCTGATGGATGGCGTGCTAGGGAAGACCATCGACCCTTTTACAGACCGTCGCTACATCGCCTGGCTGAGCATTGTGACTCTGGCCTTCAACTACAACACCTGGTTCATCACGGCCCGCCTGTGTTTCCCGTACCACACCGAGAGCGCCATCCCTTACTGGTTCGCCATAGACATGCTGGTCGACCTCATCTACCTCACAGACTCCATCCTCTTCCAGCCTCGCAAGCAGTTTGTCAAAGGAGGAGACATCATAGTAAGTCTTAGTTCATCCTGGCCAACTGCGCCTGTTACTGAGACTGACCTGGATTTAAGATGTAACACAATGACTTTCTTCATTTCAGAAAGACAGAGAGATGACAAAGAAGAACTACAGAAACTCAGAGAGATCCACGGTATTGGAACTTGAATTCTCATCCCAGCGACCTCACACACTAGGGCTGTGTATTGGCCAGAATCTGGTGATACGATATGTATCACGATACAGGTGTTATGATTAAATATATTGCGATACTTTAAGCGAGGCTTTTTTTTTTTTTTTAATCAAGTCTTAGGAAAAAGGAACATATTTTTTTATGCAATTGGAACAGTGGGATCTGCATTTGTATTGATCAAAGTCCCTGTAACATCCAACCAATATCAGCACTACTTTCTGTGTAATCTGAGCGTTGGAGTGGAAGAGTCACTGGCTGAAGATCTTCGGCTGCAAACTATTAATTAAAAACTGATACAGTGTTTTAGACATTGATAAAGTATAACAAAAGATAACTCAAGTGTATCAGTATTTATTACACCCTTATCACACATCTGTCTCTCCTCATCAGTTGGACATTTTGTCCCTCCTGCCATTCGACTTGCTGTACTTCCAGTTTGGATTCAGATCTATTTTCAGAGCCAATCGTCTGCTGAAGGTGAATTTAATCATGTGTTGCCAACTGATGTTCAGGACATATTGGAGTTAGCTTACCAGAGTGACACTTTCTCATGCTTACTCTAGGCAGACACATTTTTTGAGTTCAGCGATCGTCTAGAGAGCCTCATGGCCAAGGCTTACATCTGGAGGTAAGTCACATTAAATGAATGATGGCGCCATTTTTGTTGTTATCACACATGTGTCAGGGTGTGTTTGACTTATTATCAGGTCAAGGCAAAGACAGGAGCTCAGGTTTTACTACATCAAGATAAATAACCATGCATGAAAAATAAAGAAACTTTTCTTAGTTTATATCCCAAATCTTCCCAATAGTTTGCTCTTAAAATGGCAAAAAGAGCAAGCGTGTAAGTTTAACATGTAGGCGTAGCAATGTAACATTATTAATAATGACACTGTAGAGTTCATGGTGTGTTTTTTTGTTGTTGTGTAGCTCATTGGTATCCCTTTATTGTAACCTCTGGGGACAGACAGAGAGAGATGTAACTCACATCTTCACTTTTCTGTTAGAGTGATTCGGACCATCGGCTATCTTCTATTCATGCTCCACCTCAACGCGTGCTGCTACTACGTGGCTTCAGCCTACCAAGGCATCGGGGGAACTAAATGGGTGTACTCTGGTCTTGGCAGCCCGTAAGTACAGAACCTTTATAATGCTGCTTGGATTTGAGTGTACTGTATGGCATTCTGGTTTGTCTCCATATTACACACTTGAAGTTGATTTCAGTAATCAGTAATTATTAGATCATTAGGTTAAAGTCAACTCAAAATGAAATCTGATACTGCTGTGTCATTGAGATCTGCTCACATATTGTAAGCCATAAGTGAAGCACAGTATAATTCTATTACTGTATATTAGCAGAAGACTTTAGTAATGGTACTACCTCAAGTGATCCCTGATTATCATACTAATGTTGCTGAATTTTAGCAGATGTTAATGAAAATGAAAATGTAATAAATATTTGCACTTCAAGCAGAGGCAGACTTTGTCAACAATCCAGTGTAAAATCACAAAGAGAAAATGTAATTAATGTAATGAATCATCAGTGTGAAAGACACTGAGTCAAAGTTCAGCAAGAAAAACTCTTACCATCATCCACCGCTATCAGCATTTATTACTATCGACTACATTGTCATTTTAATGAATGATTTTCACCCACTTATTTAAAAAAGCACCATGTGTTTAAAAAAAGGTCCAAGTTTAAAAAAGAACTGCTCTTTTGGCTGTTAATTGGACTGTGTTGACCATACATGGCAAGAAGTGACAACCTGAATATCAAACACAACACAGAGCTTTTCAATCCTTGCTGCACTGAGACAGAGTTCCAGTTTTTTCCATGCCTGAGAAATCCAAAGACAATCCCAAATTGAAAATCTTTTGTATGTTCCATCTTTGCCGCTGCTGCCGCAGTTACCTCAGCTGCTTCTTCTATGCGGAGAAGTCCCTGCTGATGATCGCTGAGTTGCCGTTTCCAGACACCATGTTCGGACAGATCTTTCAGATGACAAACTACCTTTTTGGGGCTTTCTTTATGTCCATCATTCTTGGCCAGGTAGTTTATTTGGAATATTTGTTAAATATTTTTTTGCTTCATTATTTTTTCTTTTTTTTTCATGTTTAATGGTGATTTGGTCAGCCTGTCTTTGGATGGCATACTTTTTTTCTGTCTTTCAGTTTGCAAATCACCTTGTCACTTAAGTTTAATTTTGCAGCAAGACATCAAGGGAATCAAACTTGAAAACGGAAATAGCAACGATTAAAAAACAGCCACACTCCCTAACCCTAAACACACGTGCACACTTATTCTGTCTTTCCAAAAACCAAGCCAATGACTCGTAGTGTAGTTTGTGACGGCCCCTCTAATGCCCCCACCCTCTCCACAGGTACCTGCGTTGTTACTACTTTGCTGTCCGCAGTCTGATCAACATCGGGGGTCTTCCCGAACCCCATACCGTCTTTGAGATTACCTTTCAGATGACTAACTTTTTCACGGGCGTCTTTGTGTTCTCCAGTTTGATTGGACAGGTAACACAGAGACTCAATGTGCCCCGTAGCATGGTCTGGAAAACTGATAGAGATTAGCATCTCTAAAATAGCATGTCATCACCACTTGTCTCAATAATGTAGTGATGTAGAGATAGATGAATGAACCATACTAGCTTCACTAACACCCCATCATCCATCACTCCAACCGTTGTTGTCTCTCACTGGTTCCCTGTGGAGTCTTGACTGTCAAAAGCTTCTTAAATGTGTTAAATGTAGCATTTTAACAACCAACAGTCTTTAAATCTACTCTGGGAGCAGTTAGTTTCCCAAAGTGTTCCTTAGTTCGTGTATTTATTCTTATCGTCATCTTGCCTCAGATGAGGGATGTCATCGGCGCAGCCACAGCAGGTAAGACCTACTTTCGTTCCTCCATGGACAGCACCGTGGAGTACATGGTGAACAACTGCATCCCCCCTACGGTGCAGAACCGAGTCCGTACCTGGTACACCTACACCTGGGACGCTCAGGGCATGCTGGGTAAGTAAGATTGAACAGAGTGCTCAGTTCAGTTTTTATACAATGTTAGAAAGCCTTGAAAAATATAAGAAACACGTAGTCCACATATAGATACTGCATTTAAAAAAAAAAAAACATGGTACCACTTTTTGTGTTTTATCCTGATGCTTTCAGATGAGTCCGAGCTGCTGGATAAGATGCCTCTGGTGATGAGAACCGCCATCGCTGTGGACATCAACCTGAGCACCTTTCAGAAGATCGCACTGTTCCAGGTGATTCAGTGTGTTGTGCT